GGGCGGCCTTCGGAGGCTTTGCTTCCTCGGGAGCCTCCCCCGCGTGCGGCACTGTGGTAAAGCTGAAGGAAAATGAACTTCGAGGCTTCGGAGATGATTCCAAGTACCTTCGAGCACTAAAAGAAGGCCCCTGTTGTCCTTCAGGAAGCACTTCGACGTGGGAAGCGTCGGCGCCGGGGTAGGTTTCGGGGCCGGGGGGGAACACGCGCAGTACAACTTCTGCTGCAGCAAGTGCAGCAGCAGCACCTGAAGAAGCACTTAGCCTCGTGAACACGCGTTTGGCCCGAATCAACGAAGCTCTTTTTTTTTGAAGAGGAGTGAAGGCAGCTTCGAAGAGTTTGTGCTTCATATCTTTCAAGTCCCGCTTGTAGGCTTGCAGACGCCGCTTGTCCGCCAGCACTTGCTGCTGCAGCCGCAGCACGCTCTCGGGAAACTCGGCCCCGGGAGGCAGCTCTGCTATTCTTTTGTCCAGCAACTTGGCTTCGAATTCTGCTGCTGATTCGTAGTCTTGCAGCACTTGGGCGTGTTGAATGACAAGGCTCTGCAGCCGCTGCAGCTGGGACTGCGCCAGCGCCACTCTCTGGGCTTCGACTTCGGTCAAAGCCGCAGCTTCGGAGGCGCTGAGCGACAGCCGGTGCACCTGTTTGTACACGCGGGAGACCAGTTCGTTTTCCACTTGGTAACAAAAGTCTTCATCGAAAAAATCTTCATCAGCTCCCCCGTCCTCGCCGGGGTCTTCTTCGTCTTCGTGATCCTCCGGATCATCTGCATCCTCTGCCGCCAACGAGCGAGCTGTTGTGAAGCGCAATTCGGATTTCGAGTCGCTGCGCTGGTGACGGGGCAGAAACCTGCTGCAGCGCAGCACCACGTACACGACGGTGGCGAGAGCGATCAGGGCAGCGCTAAGGGAGAAAGCTGCCGCTCTTTGGTGAATCTGACGGGGAGAACCCCAATTAAAATGCATTTGGTCAAGAGGTAAGTCCACAGAGTCCTCTGGTGTGGCTAGAGGCAACGGCGGGAACGCCGGCGCGTCATCGCTCGTAGCGATGCCTGCTCCCATTGCTGCTGCAGCGCTGGGGTCGGTTGCAGCAGCTGTTTCAGCCGTAGCAGCCTCTGGTTCTTGTGAGGCTGTCACCAATAATGAAGCACAAGCAACAGCAGCTGCTACCACAGCGGGGGTGGCAACATTTCTGCCTGCTAACAGTAGCATACTCCCAGGGCCGACAAGTCTGAAGTGCGCCTTCATTCCAAAAGAAGGGAGAAGTGAGCCCCGAGGGGCTTTTCCTCTAAAGCCTTTCGAGTAAAAAAATATGCAATTTTAAAACAATAAAGAGACAACCATCACAAATATGTCCAACTACGCAACAACAAATGAGCAGCAGCAGCAACAACAGCCTCTGCTGCTGGCCCCAAGGGCTGCATTCCACCACGCAACTGCAGGGGGCTTTCGTTTCTTGGCCTACACGCGGCTTAAAGTGCTATTTTCCTGGCAAAATTAATTAAAGTTACATTTTACTCCCACAAGTTATGCTTACTGCTTGTGTTTCACCCGTTTCAAGCCCTTAAGGTGGCTGCCGGGGCTAGACACAATCGAGCTGGATTTGGCGGTTGGTAGCTGCACATGCTCGCGCACAAGTTGTCTCTGGCTCACTCGGTGCAAACTCTTCAGGATAAAAATATGCAATTTTTTGTGCTGTATGCTGCTGCCGCTTTCGCCGGACTGTACGGGTCCTCCGCAAGACAATAGGTCCGGAGTTGAAAAGAACTTTCGGTGTCGCACATGCCTTCGGTGCTGTTGAAAAAAAGATCGCTTTGTGAAGAGCCCTGGGTCTAAATGAAATATCCCAGTGCAATCACGGTTTTATGCCAGTCCTCTGTGTAAAACTTGTGTTGCCAACTGAATGTGCCCACTTTAAGGTGTCTTCATGCTTGGCACTACGCCTTCTCGCGGAGTAGCGTCGGTGGGCTCTGCCAAGCCCACTTTGGCTACTGCATGCATATTGCATGCGTTTCTTGGCTAACAAAAAGGTGTACTATCGAGTACAAACCTAGCGACTCCATCCTTACAGCGAGGGGTAAACACATTAGTTAAGAAGCCCTGGCTCCCAAAGGGCACCGTTGCAAAAACTGAACTGTGCCAGCCACGGCACACAAAATCGGTTGCATGCAAAGAGTAAATTCGAGCTACAGTTTTGTTTGCACCTTTTAGCCCAGGGCACTGCAGCAGTGTGCATGGGGTCTACTTGCCTTGCCTTTTCAGTTCCGACTGCTGTGTCCAACACACGAGATTATTGGCTTGGGCGTATTGAGTCTGCCTTATATGGCGAAACGGCTGCAGGGCTTCTTTGTTGCTCTGAGAATTAGAAAATTTTCCATCTTTGCGATCGAAGCTATACAGCATGGCAAACATCTGCGCGTCTTTCCTTAGCTTTGCTTTCTTTTTGCGCCCTCCAGCGGCACTGGAAGGGCCTCTGTGCTTGTGGTGTTTAGCCTGCCGGTTCCACGCGTTGTCCTTTCCTCAGCGTTATCGAAATTTTCCTTCTTGGCCTTAAGACTTGTATCACTGTACGGCGTCTTTCAAGATCTATGAAGGCGGTGACCTTCATAGGTGTTTGCTAATGTGGTTAATGCCGCTCTGCTATTGATTTTTGTTTCTCTTGAGGCCACTGCATTATTCTAGTGCGCAAGCGGACTTACTGATGCTACTATGGATAGACTTGAGTGCTTCTCTGCGAGGTGAATCCCGACACTTCACGCGAAACCTCCTTAAATCCATGCATTAGGCCACCAGTCATGTCCAATCCCTGTTGTTCCCCCATGAAAAGCAGGTTATAAAAGACCTGCCCCCAGGTTTTGATCCCCGAATGTGTGTCAGTGTCTAGGCAACTCAATTAGCCCCAAAAATCTAACAGGCTGTTGGCGTTCATAGCCCGTTGGCGCTCTTGGCCGGTCTGTGTTCATAGCTGGTTGACTGTAGTATCTCTTGCCTAATTGATCTGACTGAATACTAATTTTACATCACGTCAAGTTCTTTCCACGGAATAGGCCACACTAGGCTCACTATATGATCACTAGGGAACCAATGTAGGGTGCACTAAGGGCAGTGTCACTGGCGCAGCGTGCGAGAATACGCGCGCCAAGAGACGCCGAGAACCTCCGCGAGGCCGCACAAGCAGAAAGAGGCGGCTTATTATGCTTTGAAGTGAATTATTTTGTATCCTCTGTCCTTACTTGATTTGTGTGCACCTGTGCGAGAAAAGAAACCCAGGTGCGTCGACGCCGCGCCCATAACACCTGTGTACCGGCGTGCAGGCGCGCTCTAGATGTTGGGAGAATTACACTGGGTAAACGAGAAGCTCTCGTGCTTATTCGTGCTAGCGCGCAATACTCCACAGTGCACCTCCGGCTGTGATAATGCGTTGGACGTGTAAAGCTCAAAAGACATCGTGGTGTGGAAGGCGTGTACAGCACTGTACACAAATAGGCATCACTCAAGGCGTTGCACTGCTTGAGCGTGCCCCTCCGTTTACTGAAGGGAACTATTTTTGCGGGCGAGGTTGATAATTAATGAGGCCACGCTGGCGTAATTGGGCTCATTAAGCATGAGACAGCAATTGACAGTACCGAGGAATCGTTAGTCAGTATCTCTGGCCAATCATGAGTAGCTGGAACTTTGTCTGCTGCGAGCTTCATACGTTGAGCGCTGGTAGCACATCGCAGGTAGAAAGGCAAATTCTCGCTTTACGAACTTGCATTTGCGAAACTTGGGGATGTACTGATATTGGAGAAATATGCCGATCACGTGCCTCAGGAGGGTAGGGTGGAGAGCAATATAGGGGATGTAGGTCAAGATATCCTCGAGAAAAACTGGGACACCATGTCACAAGAAAGACTGAAGATAGGAACTGAAGCTAGCTTAGAGGGTAGCTGAAGTGCCCTTAAGGCCGAAAGGCATGATCTAGTTCTGGGACTCAGGAAAAGGCTGTCTTCCGCCAGTCTGCTTTGGTCTTACGAATTGTGTGGAAACCTGTCTCGAGATCAAGTGTGAAAAAGTAACTAGCAGACCCGGGCATTTCCCAGACAGAGTAGAACTGTAATTTGCTCCATTGGGAATAACTTACGGATGAGGAGATTAAACAGCTGGACAAGGACCTGCGCAGGCAAAGAGGACCTTTAGACCTTGGAAAAGCGAGTAGTGGTGTCACACCGCCAGCCCCAAACGCCGACCGATCTGCACAACGTCCTAGCCTGCTGCAAGGGGGCTCTCTCTTGCACTGATATTATTCTTTTTGTGCTCTATTTTCCCAAAATCAAGTGTTACAACATTCGAGGCTCTTGTTTCGTAACACTGTAGTGTTTCAAGCTACATGATTGGGGCTGACTAGAGTCTGCCGCGCAAAAGCGCAAAAGCCCCAGATGAACATATGTGTTAAATTTGTATGGGTGTGCTGTTACGAGGCGGTGTGCTCTGGCACAATGGCCTGAAATTTGAAGGACTTGCACTCCTCAAAGCGCCGAAATTGCAGGTGTACACAAGATATACAGGACTTTGTATCCTCGACCGAAGAATTCTTCTGTGGTCAATATTTTAGAAGTGACTTAAAGGGACCGGATTTTTTACATGTTGAAGATTGCTATCATTTGAACGTCTCCCTTCCTGCTATCGTTTTCGCTCATTAACCAACGGTACACACACGGGCGGGACTGGACTGTGTCTCCTCTGAATGTATTGTCTTCGTAGTATACACATCTTTCGGATTGGAGTTTTATGTTAAAACTGTGGCTCTTTGGATCTTACATGGTAGAAGGATTTCATGCAGCAAGAAGATTAGCGGAAACAAACAGGATGACGTTGGATCTAGAAGTTTATGCCAATAAGTTTTTCGCAGACTGTCTTCGTGTAAAAATCACACCAAAGGAGGAGGCAGATAATCCACAAAAGTGCGCAATTTCCTGGATGGGCGAGCCGCCAGCAAGAAGTGAACACAGGAGCAGGGTTGCATATTGGGATTGGACGTCGTCTCAGCTTATTCGTGCGAGCATTTTACTTCCTTGAGGCCACTTTTGAAAGGAACTCACCTGATTATTCCATAGGGATCAGGGGGCAGCTCCTGGATTATTTCAGTTCGGCAGTCAAATCCAGGATAATTACACCCCATTTGCTTGAAATTTTCCCGTGGCGACAACATTACCAAGTACGACCAGAAGCAAAGCAGCGGAGCCAACTGTACCCAATGCTGTGTGGCACACTGTCGGACACAGCAGTAGGAGATTTGAGGGCACTGGGCTGGGCCACAAAAATTTTAAAAACCAAATATGTTGCCTTGGATGTAGTGCACAGCGGTCTTTGCTGCTCCTACGTTATTTTCTGGCGCACGAATAGGGCGCCCTTCGGACAAATCCTCTACATTCGACACATATCTCACAATCAACATCAAATAATCAATAACTCTCATACTTCAAGACTGCCAATCGGACCTTCTTACAAGTCGAGAATCACAGTTCTGACTCCCTTAACCCAGTTGCGGTCGGCGTCACCGCCAGCCCCAATCTTAGGCTATTCAAAGACACTTCTAGTTGACACATGTTGTCTTGCTGACAAATTGCCCTACTGCCTTACTAATAAGAAGTTTCTGCCCTCGTTTTGCATGCTAACCTCTTATAGGTCGCCTGCCAGCTATCCTCTGAAATTTACCAGCAAGCGCCACCGGACTGCCTGCGCAATACACTGGATAACTAAATAGATGTTTCGTTTTGCAGCTTTTGCATGCATTGCAGTTGACCTTACTGGCCAGTTGCAATCCCCATGACTCCGGGGGCAGCCACGGCGTGCAAGAAGCGCTGGTGTCAGCTGCAGTGAAGTCAACAGTCATTAACTGGAAAGTGTCCGGAGCTAGCGTGGGCATTTGCTTTGAGTGGGCGAGCTGGAGTTCAGTCTCTTGCTTCCGGGGCTAGCAGCAAAAAGTGCCAACAAAGAGACTCTCATGTGGCCTTAAAATATATTTTCTTTGATTTCAAACAAAGCAGAGCACTTTGCGGCGAAGTGCACGCCCGTGTGGGCAGCCGCAGCCTCTAGGGAGGAAGTCGCTTTTTGTTTTAAGTGTTTAAGCCGCAAAAAATTGGCAAAAACGTGGCTTAAGTGTCGAAAATATCGACAGATTAATTGCAATTACACTAAAGTTCTTAGAACTGGCAGAGCTGCTTCCATAAATGGCATTTTCGCTGAGACTGCGGCACCTCGCGGGCCCTCAAGCCCAGGCTTTAAGGCTTTAAGCTGCTGCAGCACTCAGGGGGCCCCCTGGGGGCTTCCCCCAAGTTCAGCTGCTGCCACTCTAGAGCGTAGCGGCAACAAGGGCCTTGGAGGCCTCTGAGGCCTTTTGCTGCAGTGCTGCGCCGCAGCAAAAGGCCTCGAAGGCCTGCGGGCTTGCAGGCCGTTTGCTGCAGCGCTGCGCTGCAGCATGTGCTGCATAAGTGGCACGCGGCACACACACCACCTTCTCGGGCCATTTAAAGCCCAGGGGACCTGCTGCTGCTGCTGCAGCTGCTGTTCGAGTGGCTGGGGGGGACTCAGTGGAGCTGCATTTGGTGTGTTAAGAGTTTCTCTGGAGTCGTTTTTGCTTCAGTTGTAAAGCACAAGAAGCCTGAGTTGATGGGCTTGCATTTTTGTCGCATGCTTCATTGCACTAATGCGGGTTTCGGTGTGCGAGAGCTCGCTGAGGACTGCAGGGGCTGCAGCGGGAGCAGCAGCAGCAGCAGCAGCAGCAGCAGAAGCACAAATGCAGAAGCACTGCTGAAAGCTCTTAAAGACACGCAGCTGATGCCGTTAAATTAGCCGCAGGAAGCTGCAGCTGCGCCCCACATCAGCAGCAACAGCAACAGCAGCAGCACCTGCAGCAGGGCGCCAGTTGCTGCTATGCAAGCTCACAAAAGAAAGGGACCCGACGAGCGCCATCCCGGGAGCTCTGTGCTGCCACTTAATCCTCATTTTGAACAGAAATTGGATTATTTAATTAAGTTTGAAAATTAAATGAATAAATTTGTGCATTTATTCGGCAGAGTTGGAGCAAATCGAACGAGAGAAGGTGAGGTGTATCACGAACCGCTCCCTCCAGCGCCTCCGTGCTTTCCTTTTTACCTATTCCTTGTTCTTTTCGTTTGAAGGTTCTTTTTAGTTTAATTCAATTCAACTTCTTCACCTCACTTCCTCATGCACAGACCAATGGTTAACCAGTGGCCGCAGGAGGGGGCCCCGACGCCCGAAGTCGAAGCGCCCCCGGCTGCCGGCGGCGGCGGCAGCAGCAGCAGCAGCAACGCCGAAGCAGCAATACCTGCTGCTGCTGACCCCACTGGCACCAATCATACCTCTGCTGCTCGCCGTCTTTTGTTTCTCTGTCTTGTGCTCTGTGCTGTCGCCTTCCCGCTATCTGCAGCAGCAGGAAAGCTGAAGCAGCTGCAGCAGACCAGGCGGGTGGTGGCGCTGCAGCAGCAAGTGCAGCAACAGGAGAAGCAGATGAGGCACCTGCTGCAAGAAAACAAAACGAAACTGGAGCAGCAGCACCAGCACCAGCAGCAGCAGCAGCAAGAACTGCAGCAGGAGCTGCAGCAACGGGCAGAGCGCGTGCAGGAGCTCGAGCTGGAGCTGGAGGAGCTGCAGAAGCAGCACGAGGAAGAGCTGAAGATCCGAGAGCAGCAGCAGCAACAGCAGCAGCAGCAGCCCGAGCTTTTACCAGGCAGCCAGCTCGTGCAGCAACAGTACCACGAACTCCAGCACAAGCTGCAGCAGCTGCAGCAGCAGCTGAGCACCGTCCAGAAGCAGCAAGACCAGGATAAGCTGAGCTTCGAGCTGCATTTGCATCAGCAAGAATTGCATTTGCTGCACCAAGAGCTGCACAATCAAGTGCAGCGGCAGCAGCAGCAGCTGCAGCAGCTGCAGCAGGAGTTGGAGCAGCGAAGCCAGCTGAGTCGCCAGGAGCAGCTGTTGCAGCAGCACGGGAAGCACGAGCTGCCGCTGTGGCCCCAGCAGCTACAACAAGGCCTGCTGCAGCAGCACAGCTGGCTGCAAGTCCCGCTGCAGCTGCTGCAGCAAAGTGGAAGTGAGAACTTGCAGCTTGCTGCCTTGGTTATTGAGTCCCACTTTTTGCTGCAGCAGGTGCAGCAGCAGGAGCAGCAGGTGCAGCTCCTCCGTTCGCGGCAGGACGAGCTGCAGGAGAAGCTGCAGCAGGTGCTGCAGCAGCAGCAGCAGCAGCCGCAGCAGCAGCAAGAGCTCCTGCAGGAGGAAAGCAGCAGCAAAATGCCTGGAGATACAGAAGAACAGCCCCAGGACTTTCCTGCTTCTCCCCGCAAGCTGCGCGCCCAGAGCCCCACGGGTAAACCCTAGGTCCCAAACCCTAAACCCTAAACCCTAAACCCTAGGCACTGATCCGCCAACTCCCAGTCCCAAATCAGAGTGTCTTCTTTGCTGCTGAAGAGGCGGTTTGGGTTTTGCGTTTGCTCATCTAAGCCGTCGCTCAGTGTAGCAGGAGTTTGCAGTTTAGGGTTTAGGGTTTAGGGTTTAGGGTTTAGGGTTTGACTGTGCAGCCGAGATTATTGTGAGGGCCGACGAAGCAATGTGCGCGTGGATGTTTGACACTCTAATAGCGCACTTCGACGTAAGGCTGCGATGTTTGAGGGTTTAGGGTTTTCTGAGGGTTTAAGTTTTACGACTTGCTTCGAGGGTTTAGGGTTTAGGGTTTAGGGATTAGGGTTTCGACCCTGGAGTAACTTTCCCCCCGCGGACTCTTCTGCGCTTCTTCCTTCTGCAGACGTGGGGTTTAGGGTTTAGTGTGTGGGCTTCTCCCGCGGGCTTGGGGCGAGGGTTTAGGGTTTAGGGTTTAGGGTTTAGGGTTTAGGGTTTTGCACGCAGCCGTCGCGGACTCCGCCGTCGCCGCCGGACTCGGTGTTGGCGCTGCTGGAACAAGGTGTACGTACACCTGCTTTTGTGTCTTGGAAAAAAATCGACAGAAAGAAAAAAAAATTTTCAGAAGAAGATTTGGAACTGAGAGGATGCATTGGCTCCCTCAAACCCTTGCCCATTATGGAACTCAGTGAGGGTTTAGGGTTTGGGGTTTAGGGTTTAGGGTTGGGGTTGGGGGTTTAGGGAACCCTTGCCCATTATGGAACCCAGTGAGGGTTTAGGGTTTAGGGTTTAGGGTTTGGAGTTTAGGGGTCGGATCTGGGGTCTGGGTCTGGTGCATTGGCTCCCTCAAACCCTTGCCCTTTGTGGAACTCAGTGAGGGTTTAGGGTTTAGGGTTTAGGGTCTAGTGTGTTGGTTCCCTCAAGCTCTTGCCCATGAGGGTTTAGGAAGCGCCGAGACGCATTGTTAGGGTTGAGGGTTTGGGCGTTTTACTTTGCGGCCAAGGGTTTGAGGCTTTTTTTTCAAGACTTTTTCTTAAGGGTTTAGGGTTCAGGGTTTAGGGTTTGCGGTTTGGGTGCGCAGAGGACTATGCGCTAATCAGCGCTTTGCAAGACTCGCGGTTTGACCCAGTCACTCCGGAAGAAATCCCAGATCTGGTTTGCCAGGTTTCTTTGCTTCACAGCTTCGAGGTTAGGGTTTAGGGTTTAGGGTTTAGGGTTTAGGGTTTAGGGCTTAGGGTTTAGTTGAGGGCGGGACTGTGGTCTGGGCTCCGAAAGGCAGAAAGGAGCTTCTATTTAGCGCGCTGGGGTTTAGCGCTGCGAGCTGAGGGTTCGCAGTTACGCGTTTAGGGTTTAGAGTCAAGGGTTTAGGGTTCAGGGTTTAGGGTTTAGGGTTTAGGGTTTGTGCTGCAGCCGGGGGCGAACGCCTATGACTGGGAAGTTGGCGTCCACGGCATCACCATTAAATTCATAGCGCCGGGACAGAGGTGATGCCAAACCCTAATCATTGCTAGGGTTTTAAACCTTGCAAAACCCTAAAACACTATTTTGTAAACCCGTCGGGCCCCATTTCCAAACCCTAGTGGCAGGAAACCCTGGCAAGCAGCGCTGAAACCCTAAACCCTCGGATCTGGGAAATGTGCTATTTCGGTGTTGATTTCTACAACAGCTGAAGCTGTGCCCGGATCCTAGGGACTAGGGTTTAGGGTTTAGGGTTTAGGGTTTGTGCATGGACGAAGCTCTAAACGTCACCTTCTAGGGTTTAGGGTTTAGGGTTTTGGTGCAGGGGCTTACGGAGTTACCAGGCGACGTACTTGCCGGAAGTGGCAGCAGAGATGAACATGAGCAAGGAAGAAACAATTATTTCGCTGGTACGAGGGTTTAGGGTTTAGGGTTTAGGGTTTAGTGCTCGTTCCTCTCGTCAAAGCCAAACCCTCGTTTGCACCGGCGGAGTGCATGCAGATACAGTTGCTTGGAAGCTTGGGGCCAGTGCAAGCAGCCGGGTCAGGGTTTAGGGTTTAGGGTTTAGGGTTTAGGGTTTAGGGTTTGCGCGAAGGTGCGGAAGGCGGGCTACGCGCGGAGCCCCATAGACGCAGACTTCATAGCTCGCATTTCTTTGGAGCGCTACAAGTCCTCTCGGGCGCAGCTGGACTACGCGACTTACCTGAAGAAATATGCGGAAGAGGGCGAAGAAACGGTGGTTTAGGGTTTAGGGTTTAGGGTTTAGGGTTTAGGGTTTGGGCCTGCGCACGCCGCGGACGCTGCCAGACGCTGAAACGGAGCCTTCCAGCGCAAACGCATGCAGCCTTTGAGGTGTACGTACACCTGGACGCAGCTGAGGTGTACGTACACCTGGATGCAGCTGGGGTGTAAGTACAGCTGGACGCAACTGGTGTGTACGTACACCTGTCTGGAGTTGAGGTGTGCGTACAGCTGGTTGGCGCTGCGGTGTACAGCTGGTGGAGTTGAGCTGTACGTACAACTGGCTGGGCCTGGGGTGTACGTACACTGTCTGCCAATGTGTGCATGCGGGTGGAAAGGGCCCCTTTTTGATTTTAGGTCATCTGCGCCTGTTTCTCGGGCCGGCAGGTAATAAAAAGAAATAAAAAATAAAGAATGAACCTAATGCATGCGCATGCATGCAGGCCTGTCTACGCGAGTGTACGTACACCCGAATGCATGCGCATGCGCTCCCGCAAGTGTCCGCAACGAAGGAATTTGCATCTGCTGCTGCTGCGGTGTACGTGCATGCGGGGGCCTTAATATTTATAATAATTCGAAATGAATATTTATTTCATTTTGTTGCACTAATAACGCATGCGCATCTGCGAGAAATAACTCCAATGCAGCTATTTGGACTTTGCATGCATGCACTGTTTGGAAGAAAATGAAATGGGGAAAGTGGCCGACCACGCACTAGCTGCAGCATACATGCAGTGTACGTACACCCGAACTGAGCACCTGTACAGCGGCCTAGCTTGCTGCAGCATGCATGCAGTGTACATACACCCGAACTGAGCACCTGTACAGCGACCTGTCTTCGCAGACTTAGAATTTTTTCTTCTTTGAAATCCCCGGCCCTTCACTTGTGCTTTTGAATGCATTTTAATCCAAGTTCTGTGTTGACTCTGGTATTTTTCCCTGCTGCCGTGCATGAGGAGAGAGAGTCTTGCTGCTGCTGCTGCTGCTGCTGCTGCAAGACTTTTCCTTGGCTCCCCTCTCTCCACTTGCTGCTGCGCATGCGCTGCTGCTGCGCATGCGCTGCGGTGTACGTACACCCCGTGCGCACAGCGCATGCATGGCACTTGCCGCGTCTTTGAAGTTTTTGAAATTTGCACTTTTGCACTTTTCCGAAAGGACATTATTTGTGACTTTTTGCGATTTTCGAGAAATTAAAAGTTTGTTTCCACTTTTCCCCAAGTGTTCCGTCTGTGCAAAAGCCCCACTTGCATGCGTCTGCAGCTTTGCTGCATATCTGTTTATTCTTCATTTTATTCTACATTTTATTTTCGATTTTATTCACTTTTATTTTCATTTAAAGAAGAAGTGCTTTAGTGCTGCTAGTGCGCCGCGCCGAGCCGCGGTGTACGTACACCCCAGCCCGCCCTTTCCGAACTTACCAAACGCAGCTCCGCTTTGGCACTTTATATAATTTTTGCCATTTCAAGCACTAAGTGTCTTTGCTTCAAGACCCGTTGCTGCTGCTGCTGTTGCTGCCGCTGTTGCTGTTGCTGCTGCTGTGGCTGCAGTTGGCTGCTGTTGTTGGCTGCTGTTGTTGGCTGATGCTGGCTGCTGTAGCTGATGCTGCGACTGCTGTCGCTGCTGCTGCGGCTGCTGTTGGCTGCTGTTGCTGCTGCTGCGGATGCTGTTGGCTGCTGTTGCTGCACCTGCTGTTGGCTGCTGTTCCTAGTGCTGCAGCTGCTGCTGCGGCTGTTGCTGCGGTTGCAGCGAGCCTCTCTTAGCTTTGGAGGGCTAAGGCGAAAGCCCTTCAAGCCGCTGGCAGCCACAGCTGCAGCAGCAAGTTTGGCCAAAAAAGAGCAGCAGCAGCAGCAGCAGCAGCAGCAGCAGCAGCGCCAGCAGCAACAGCAGCAGCAGCACGGCTCTAGTTGTAGCTCAGTCGACCCAAAGCCCAATTCAAATCCCGCCATAAGTTCAAAAAAAAGTGCTGTTGCAGCAGCAACGTTAGAGCTGCAGCAGCAGCAGCGGTAGTCGCTGCAGCGTTTGCTGCAGTAGCAGTGGGTGCTGCTGCTGCCACTACCGGACTCGGAGCAGCAGCAGCAGCTGCTGCTGCTACTCTGTCACATTCGAAGCAACCAGACACATGTCTGAGCAGCAGCAGCAGCGCTGCAGCTTCTGCTGCTGCTGTCGGTGTTGGTTTACGAGTTGGGCGCAGCGTGTACTGGTGCTGCTGTTTCTGGGTTTGCTGCTGCGGCTGCTGGCGCTGCTGCTGTTGCTGCTGCTGCTGCTTTCGCTTCAGCTATTGCTCTGTCAAATATTAATTTTATTTCTCTGCATTTGCAGTGACGCAAAAGAGCTTCTTGCATGCGCTGCTCCACCGTTTGCGCAAGCACCAAGAAAGCCTCCTGCAGCAAAAAAAAGGGTTTAGGGTTTAGGGTTTAGGGTTTGGAGCTGCTGCAGCGCGGCTGCCGCCCCTGGGCCGTGCTTTGGGCGGCGACGTCTCACGGCGTGCTCGCAGCTGCAGCCGAACCCTAGACGTTAGGGTTTAGGGTTTAGGGTTTAGGGTTT